GGACCGGCAACGGGATCGCAACCCTCGGTGTTGCTCCCGCATCTCGCTCAGCCAGTGAGCGGGAACCGGTCTGTATGTGGGATCCAAACCCTCGGCAGGAGCGCCGCCGCGCTTTCCAAGCGGCGCACTGTAGCAGTGCGCCACCGGGCCGACCCCTCAATTTTCTTCTTAACACTATGAAAATATCAGTCTCTGGTACTATTTCTTGCTTTGTCTCCTTTCTGTATTAACTGCATCACCTTTCTGTTTGCCCAGTATGTCCAAATTTTTTAACATTCTGTATCTTGAAGTATGTCTTTTCTAAGCAGCATATTGGTGGGTTTGCTTAATAATGTTTCATCTAAATTGTTTGGTACAATTACATTTAATAAAACTACTGAATACTTTGGCAAGATGTACTTGATTTGTCTAGTGTGCTCACTGTAAATAAACGTGGGATGTGATTTACAAGGCATGGCTCTCCAGAAAATGTTACATTAGCTCTGTAATTTTGGGCTTGTAATGTGGACAATATTAGGTATAAAATACCGACATTTCATGACCTATTGCTCCTCTTTTATAAGTGATGCACCATATGCAACATATGCATCATGTTAAATTTCAGTCAGATGGGGCCTAATGCAGCAAGGAAGAGCTTGGGGAATGGTACAGGAAGACCTACGAAATTACCTATGATGTTATTAGTCAAGCTTGAGAATAGTTAAGATTTCTGACTCTTGTGAGCCTAATTTGATCCGATTGTTTGTATTATCTCAGCTCTTGAAGTGGTTTCCTTCCTTCTATCCTTGGCCCCTTTGATTTTGTCTCAACCACAACCACCAGAGAAAGCCCTTCAGAATGTGAGCTAGGTCTTGTTACTCCTCTGATCAAATGTCTTAATTCAGGGTAAAAGCCAAAATCCTACAATGGCCTCGAGCAAATGCAGCATCAGACTTCCCCATTTCTGTTCTGTACTCATCTCTCTTCAGTCTCCCGCTCTGTTCCTCTGCTGCGTACCCATTGCCCTCTGTGTTGTTGCTCTGACATGCCAGGCAGCTCCACCTCAGGGCCCTTGTTGACTTTCCCTTCCGCCTGAAAACATCCGCAGGGCTGGCTCCTGTCTTACAAGTCTGTATCTTCTGAGACTCTTACTACCTAACGTTGCCCCCACCCCTCCAACACTGTAGACCACACATGCCTTTTACCCACCATATACTTTTATTCATTATTATATCTCTTCTCAACATTAGAATGTAAGCCCCCCGAGAACATGTTTTTTTATTGGTTATGAATATTCATGGGGTACAAAGCTGACTGTCACTACTCATGCCCAAGATGTGATGGCCAGATCCATACTGGCAGCAGGTCCATTACTACAAATTGTGATTATACCCCATGTCCCCACCCAATTAACCCTGACCTCCCTCCCCATCCCCCTTTCCCCTTACTCTACTTTGTATCCCTAGGTATGTTCTCTCCCTCTCCAAGTCCAGCACACCACTGTGGTCTTTCTTTCCTTCCTTCCTTCCCTCTTAGCTCCCACATATGAGTGAGGACATGTGGTATTTATCCCTCTGTGCTTTGCTTATTTCACTCAAAATGTTTCTCCAGGCTCATCCATGTTGTTGTGAACAGCAGAATTTCATTTTTTTTATGGCAGAGTAGTATTCCATGGTGTATATATACCACATTTTCCTTATCCAGTCATCCACTGATGGACATTTAGGTTGGTTCCATATCTTGGCTAGTGTGAACAGAGCTGTGATGAACATGGGAGTGCAGGTATGCTTTTGACATGATGACTTCCATTCTTTTGGGTATATACCTGGAAGTGGGATTGCTGGATCATACGGTAGTTCTATCTGTAGTTGTTTGGGAAACCTCCATAATGTTTTCCATAGTGGTTGTACTAATTTACAGTCCCACCAACAGTGTAGGAGCGTTCCCTTCTCTCCACATCCTCGTCAGCATTTGTTATTCTCCATCTTTTTGATTATCACCAACCTAACTGGGGTGAGATGATATCTCAGTGTGGTTGTAATTTGCATTTCCCTGATGACTAGTGATGTTGACCATTTTTTCATGTACCTGTTGGCCATTTGTATGTCTTCCTGTCTTGGTCAGTGCTGATACCCGGCACTTTGAGGACTACCTGGCAAAGTAGGCACTCAAATACTTGTGAAACAGATGAAGAAAATCCACCCTCCCCCACCCCACCCCCACCTGGGTATTGTTTTGCCTGCATTCCATGTGTCTATTCAATACTCCGAGCCATGAGCCATTTGCATGTGCTTAAAGCTCTTCATGGTGGACTTTGTGAGTTACTTTTTGTAGCTGATTTTTTATCTTATTACAGTAATCAGTGAAGAATGCCTTATTTTATGCAATGTATTTTCCTTTATGGCCTAGGTCATGGTCAATTTTTTTAAACGTTTCAAGTGTATTTGAAATCAACATGGGTTCTGTTTGTTGGATGTAGCATACATACCATCCATTTTACTAATTGTGAAACTCAAATTCTGCCTTTCATCAGTTTATGACTACATAGATATCTCAGTGTCCTAGATTAGTGTCTGTCACTCCATTTAGAATTCTTCACAGACACTATATAAATCTGTGTCACAGAAGGGAACCCTCTAGGTGCAGTGAGCATTCTTATCAGAAAAAGATCACCACAGAGTTGGCTACTGTAAGTGCTTCTGTTGAGTTTATCACTGCTCAGCATCATGAAAGTTACTGAAAATAATGAGTGCAATAGTGGCTTGTTAGAACAACTGGGGTTAGAAGAGGTCCCTCACTGCTAACACCAGTGGTATTCAAGATATGGAAACTGGATAGAATAATTTAGATTTATTCCCCACCCCTACATAAATAAGGTAAAAGACTTTAACTAGTAAAGCCCTGGAGTGGTGACTGAGGCTTAAACTTAACCCTAAAATAGCACTGTCCTGCCTCTGGGTTAGAGGATGGCTCATGGTGATAAGAGGAGCAAAATTTTGCCCCTGGAATGGTCACAACAGTCTTGAAAAAACTTTTCATGGAAGATGTGGCTGATTATCTAAAGAGACAGAGCTGGCACTTCATTAAACTTGTAAAATGTGTTGCTGAAACTATTTTGTGCTTGACTGCTAATAAATTTTTGTTTAATAAATATCTGTATATATGACAGCATTCCCATTGAGATCCATTTTTACTATCACCAGCTGGTAAGGCTGTAGGGAGCAACTGATCAATATCCATCTAAAACTTGTTATCTGACAGTATCTAGAAATCACCAGGATATTACTTCCACACTATAAGTACTCTTTAGTTTCTCTTTATGGATCTATCAGTTATGGATCAGGTATTTATCGAAAACATATTGTTCCATGAACACAAGTTCTTGATTCTTGTATCTTCTTGTACCTATCAATAAGGAATACTGTTCTTTGTCTCTTTCAATGTTTTTGCCTTACGTTTATCTTGGCTGATATATACAACCTATGAATATAATTATTATGTAACATAGTATTTACCTGGTATGTTCTCCTATCCCTTAGTTTTAGAATGGTTTATATTATAAAATATGCAATAATAAAAATAAAATATAAGATTAAAGAATAATACAATAAACAGCCACAAAGCCTTATCAAATCTTACGATTATGCCATATTTTTTCAGATCTTTATTTCTCAAAATGACCAGAAGCCTTTGATAGGTAGAGGTTTTATAAATGCCAAGCTATTAAATAAAAGACAATATGTAAGTCTAGGAGAAAAATTACCATACCCCTTTACATTTTGTTTTCTGTTTTGACAAATTTTAAAAGAATCTGACACTGGGAATCTAAAAAATACCAGGCTACTAGTTGAAGTCGGTATTTTAAGCCTCGGGTACAGCTTGAATGGTATCATGGAGGTGAAATAAATTATATTGTCCCTAAGTTCTGGGATTATGATATCAAAAGAAGTAGTTATGATAAATAAAACATATGCCAGAGTGGAATTTCAAAAGATATTTTACATTTCTAGCATCACTTAAAAAAATCCCTTTATAGAGAACTACCTTAAAATATTTTTTATCAGAAATATAGATTTGGTAATAAAAACCATTTGATAGTTACATAAACATGCAACAGATATGCTCTATATGTGTAATTTAAATACATTAATATGAATATTCTTTATGGGTATATTTCATATAAAGTTATAAATTATTTTACATTATTTAAAAAACTGGTAACATAAACCTAAGCTCATAAGTTACCCATTGAGTAAATTCCAGTGCCTGCCCCCATATCAGGCAGCCTTTGCATGGACAGATAGAGTCCTTGGAACTGGTCAAGGTCTCCGTGAGTTCCCTGGGGTATAAGGAAGGCCCCAGAGGGGTGCTGATGGCCATTGGGGGCTGCCCCTCAACTCGGGGGGCCTGCAAGCAACAGGGCTATGTGAGAGGGGCACAGGCACAGGAAGGGAGTAGATGGAAAATATGTAAAAATGAATCAGGAAGTTTTGCTGTTTTGGTAAGTGATGTACTCCCCACCCTACCTCCTCTTAGAAATGTTATAAAAATTCTTATTTTAAAAATTTAAACTCTCAGCCTCAGCAAAATTGCCTTTTAGTATTCTCAGCCAAAAAAGCTTAATTCTCTTCCTTTAATTTCTGGTTTTATGACCAAATATCCTGAAGATACCGTTTTTCTTCTTTTAAGGTAGCCAGTGTTCTCATTGCCTCTAGTTTTCCGGCTCCATTCTCACTGCTTATTATTTCCACAAGGGCATCATTTACATCCTTGGCCATATTCTTAGCATCTCTAGAAAAGAAAATAATAGCATCATTGTTTATGAAACAGGAATTTTTACCAAATCCTTAATTCGGCCGTCTAACTCCTCTGTCTCCACCATCGTCGTCCTTCCCTGTACTTTCTCGGAATGTGTCCTACAGATCTTCCAGCCTCACTTGCCCCCACACCCAGGCCTTCACCCACAGTAACTGTTCTAAAAGGCAGAGCTGACCACACTGTTCCACGCTGACACTCCTTCCCAGGCACCCATGTCTCTCCACCATCGTCGTCCTTCCCTGTACTTTCTCGGAATGGGTCCTACAGATCTTCCAGCCTCACTTGCCCCCACACCCAGGCCTTCACCCACAGTAACTATTCTAAAAGGCAGAGCTGACCACACTGTTCCACGCTGACACTCCTTCCCAGGCACCCATGTCCCAAGAGCAGTCAGCCGAGAGCTCCCTATGCACTGAGGACCCTCGGGGCTGGCTCCTGTGCACCTGCTGGGCCACCCCGTTCATCCCCTTCCCTCCGTGCTCAGGGCACATAGTAGACTCAGATTCCTGAAAAGAACAAGCTATTGTGCACACTTCTGAGCCTCTATACACATACACTATTAGCAGACATCTCTACTGAGGACTCACTCTGTGCCTGGCCCTTTCCAAGTGCTTTCACAGGTCTTAACTCTAATTACAAGATGGGGGAGGTGCTCCTGTGTGGTCCTGAGGTCCCCTACAGAACATTCACCACATCCTATGTGGCTTTCCTACCAATGAGTAAGTGGTCTGAGGGTAGTGAGTGTACCTCATTTATCCTCCTATTTCACAGAACCTCAACAGACCCCGAGCACTCAGCAGGCGCAGGAATGAATAAAAGTGCTGAACAGGACTCTCATATGTCAGGAACTGAACCTGTCCTGGCCCCCACAGTAAAGTTTCTCGAGAGGTGTCTACAGTGGCCGTCTTGGCTTTCTCAACATACTCTCCCCTCGACCACTCTCAGGTAGCTTCTATCCCCACGGCCCTTCCCTGGGTCACTGAGGGCTGCCATGGAGCCAAACCTCTCACCCCTGTCTTCTCACTTGTCCCCTCAGCAGCATGAGCCTCCTCCCTGGGACAATGTCCCCTGGCCTCGGGACAAGTCTGCTCCTTCTTCAATGGCTGCTCTCTCTCAGTCTCCTTTCTCCTGCTTCCCTGATGGGCTCGTCACTGTTAGGGCCGCAGAGGTCACTCTGAGCCCTCCTGTCTGACCCCTGCCTCTAATGCCTTCGAGTCCATTTCACAGATGCGAAAAGTGAAACACCGGTGACTGGGAGGAGCTACTTCTAGGATAACATTTTAAGAGTTTGTGCATTGAAGATATTGTCCAAGTTCTCAATGACCAGCTATTTGTATATTTGTACAATTAACCCTGCTTCCACTATTTAGAGGTGCATCTCTAAACCATTAGCCCGTATTTGACCACTGCCGGCCCTGCCTTCTACGAACTACCAAATACTTCATGGGGGAAAGTGTAAACCAATACGATTTCTAGAACTTTTTCCCTTTATCAACCTAGAGCAGTGTCTTTCAACTGAGCGTCAAAATCTACTAATAGGTCATGAAATCAACTTAGTCGTCAGATGCAGCTTTTTTTTTAATTGAACAGTAAAACAAAACAAGAAAAATGATCAGAATGTGTCATAAAAAGTAAGTTCTGACTCATGAAACTTGTTTCAATTATATTTAAATGTATTCTGGGTTACTATGCCATTATTTTGTCTTCTGAATCATAGTTTAAAAAAAAATAAACCTGAGTTAGTGACTTAGAGAATGTGTTAAATGCTAGGGACAAGTTAGGATAAAGAGTAAATTTCTTATTTCAAATCTCCTTTTTAGTTAGCAGAAAAGCTTTGAATTCCATTAAAACAAACAAGTAAGTTTTAAAAAATTTTACTTTCTATGGCTATTATAAGTTTCTATAACAGATCTTGCCTCAGAAAGTAGATAAAACTTAATAACATAATAATAATTCCTGGCTTATTTCGACTTTAACTCTGCAAATTACAACTCAAATAAAAAGAATCCTAGTATCCGCATTCTCAGAGTCAAAATCATACTTTCTTTCCTTTAGACAGTTCCGTGGAACAATCATCAGTTATTTTTATCAATCCTGAGACTTCAAGTTAAATGATTAATATTTTGGGGCTGGCCCGTGGCTCACTTGTGAGAGTGTGGTGCTGATAACACCAAGGCCACGGGTTCAGATCCCTGTTAGGGACGGCCAGTTGGCTCACTTGGGAGAGCGTGGTGCTGACAACACCAAGTCAAGGGTTAAGATCCCCTTACCAGTCAACTTTTCTAAAAAATAAATAAATAAATAAATGATTAATGTTTTAACACAAATTTTTAGAGGCTAAAAACATGTTTCTAAAAGCATTCTCCAGTGCAAGAATTGATTTTCACCACTATTTCCCTGATAATGACAACTTCTTGTCTATTAGATGCATGTTAAAACCATTTTAGAACTTGTATTTCTGTTCCTGTACTTAAGAGTCAAGTCTCATCCTTATGTATCTCTAGATTATTGGCTTCTTGGTCCTTTGTTTTTTCTATAAATACCACCCACTGCCTTCTCCTCACTGGCACTTAAGTATGACAGCCACTTACCCACACACGTAAATAGAACCATTCTCATGAAGGAGGATTCTTGCCACCTGTTTGCCGTAAAGCTGGATGTTGTCCTGCACATACTTTGTTGGGGCTTCCTCTTCCCCCAAAGGACCGTCTCTTGAGAAGGAAACCTTTAGGTGAGTTAAGATCCCACACTTACGGAAATGTCTAAGCTCTTCTCTGAAATATAATATATAATGGGTCATGGGAAGGTTGTAATTAAAAGTTGAAAACGTCTTAACATTAGAATTGTACACTCAGCAGTTATTACAATACTACAGTTGTGCCGTACCTGAATAAATAATCCCTATCTTTATGTCTGCAGCCAAAAAACAGCCACATTGCTCCAAAATTTCCATCTGGGTGTTTTTCTTGGAGTTTCTCTCTATGTGAAAAGAAAGTTTAGAAGTCTGATATAAAGAATATATAAAACCAATCTCTTTCATCAGGAAATACCACCAACAAACTCAGATAGGTTTGTAAAATCCACCTTTGCAGTTGCTGAAAGTTCATTCATTTAATTAACATTCTATTATCTACAGGCTGTCAGGGCTGCTCCAGCAGACACCATAATCACAGAGCGTGTCTAGTTGCTGCAGACATCCATGGTTATAAGTGACAAGCATATACAAGGATAATTCAAAATATCACATTGTGAAACCCAGTCTAATTTCTACACTAAGTACCATTAATAGCAATTTCATGAATAAATTAACTCTTAATAATGGAAAAACGGCACATGGCTATAACAGGTAGAATGTGTAAAAAAAGCATTTATGAAATGGTGAACATACCAATGAAAAGAGCATATCTGCCATTACATTTTAGCTTTAAGGAAAAAACTAAAACAAAGCAACAAATGACTGTTCAAAGGATAGGACTCCACTTTCTGGGGAACAGTACATGAGACTTGTTCACTACTTCACAAACACGGGGAGAAGGACACACTCATATATTCACATCGAATAATTCTGTTCTCATACTAAGTTATACGTATTAATATCATTCTGCTGAAAATTACTGATGTTTGGGTTTTAGCTTTTAAACTTTTGATATAAGTGGATCTCTGTTACTACCAATTTTATCCAGTCAAGGAACAGATGAAATAGTGTCTTTATGACGGATCACAGCATAAAGGTGTGCCTGAAATTTGTCCCTAACTACATATGCTATAAATCACAGTGCCGCTAAAAAATAAAAGTGCCACAGTAAATAAGGAAGTATAAGTTCCAGTATATAGCAAAATCTCTACAACATACTGTGCTTACTTTTCCTGTCGTGACAAATTATGTTACGACATAGAAATTATACAACCAAAGTCTGATTATCCTGAAAACTACTGAGAAAAACAAAACAGGCTATTATATTTCTACCCAGGATCACGAAGGGCACATGTCCCCACTAGCCAAAAACAGCACGTACCTATGTTGTAGGAAACCAATAAAGGGTGCTATGCCAGTTCCTGGACCCACCATTATGATGGGGGCTGAGGGGTCATTTGGCAAATGGAAAAAATTTGTTGTTCGTGGAGAGATGGATATCTGGAATATTAAACCAATCACCGTTAAGTTTAAAAAGAAAACCTAGGCCAGAGCATATAACCAAGATGATCTGTGCTAAAGAAAGCAGAAAGTACAAATTCCCCTCAGAGAAGCATCATTAAATTAAATAACAGCATTACATCTTACTGAAACCACGAACACTTTTGTCACTTCAGAAATATAAATAAGTATGTCTTGCAAATTTTTCTTTTCTACCCAAATCAAATGTTTTTAATATAACAAACATGGCATTTTTCAGGTGGAACACCGAATAGAAAATAAAATTATTTTTCTAGGCCCATGGATAAGATCTGCTCTCTAGAAGTCAACTAATATGGAGAAATGCACCAAGAAAATGAAGACATTCTTCTTTATGAAGATGTGGCTCTTTTTGCATAAAAAGAGCAAACGAAGGTTAATATCAAGATGGGGTTGAATAGTTTTAAATGAAAATTAGGAAAACATAAAAAAAAAAAATTAAGGAACTGCTCCAAAGATTCTACAATATTGTTATATTTGTTCTTCTGGGTCTAATGCTACCTAGGATTATTTATGTTTGTGTAAACTAGAAAAGTAAGTAATACAAAATCATTTTGTTAAAATTTCAAAAAACTTTTCTTCCAAATCATGTGCCGAAGACACAAAGAATCAATCTGTGAATGTTTCACATCCAGTTTCATTCTGCACATGTACAAGACACTTGAGTAATACTAAGGGTTCAGAATGATCAGATTCCACTCCACCTTGCATGGTGGTATAATTGTACACATTTAAACTTTTAACTCAAGGAAAATTGTAAGAAGTTCATGAGGAACCTTAACACCATACCTTTTAAACGAAGGATTGGAAGAGCTATATCTACTTATTGTTCTTATTTGGAAATGAAACTTAGTTAATATTACATTAGCCTTATTACCTGATTCATTCCCTTAACAATGTATGACAGGCACTAGGGATACAGAAATGCACAAAACAAAGTCCCTGCCTTCATGGACCTTACATTCAACAAACATAAATCCACATAATGATGGGTAATGACAAGTCTTATAAAGCAAAATTAAACAGGGTAAGGAAACAATGGGTATGGCAGGGAGCTGCTAATTCAAACATCTATGTCAGAGAAGGCCTGGATCCATGCTGAGCCCTTAGACCTTTGACAGGCAAGAGATAGCCAGGCCTGAGCGTGTTCCTGGCAGAGAATGAACAAGTGCAAAACCCAGAGCAAGGGCACTTTCTAGGCTCTAGGGACAGCAAGGAGACCATAGTACTGGTCGGCTTTTGCTGCAGTACATCTCAGACGGCTGATAATACCGAACACTTATTTCTCGTTCTCCTTACTTGAAGGCTGCAGATTGTATACAGCTCTGCTCCACGGATCTCCTTCACTTAGGATCCAAACAGAAAGAGCATCCCTGCCCTAGATTATACCTATCCCTATGGCAGAAGGGAAGAGTGAGAGAGGCAAGCCACGCCACCCAGAAGGTTCAGCACACTCCTGCTGAGATGTGGAATATGCCCTGTCTGCTCACATGGCCAGGCTAAACATCAGCGGGGAGTGGGGGTGGGGGAGAGCCCAGTCCTCCCATCTCCCATGCATAGGATTGGAGTGGCAGGTGGGGGATTTGTGAACAACTGTACTTCTGCCACAGCTGGGGGAGGGCGTGTGGTAGATTTTGCAAAGGTCAAGATTCCCTACACTTTGTAATAAAATAGGCACTATTAAGTACAATGAAATTAGATAGTATAAATTGTATCCTTTATATCTGTACCTCTAGTGCCCACATACTGGGTAGTTGGTAAAAATCTGTTAAAACGGAAAGTTGCAAGAAAAGAGGGAGGGAGGAAAGAAGGAACATGTGAAAGGCAACCACGCTCAGTGCTTGTGATACACTACAGATTCACATTGTTTTAAACTTTCTAGAAACCATCCGCTATTTTTATACAATGACGAAGTGATATACACTTTCAAGTCAGTACTGCATTTCACAAAAGGAACAGGTTCTCAGGTTTCCCAATATTTTGCTGATGTTTAATGAAACTGTAATGTTTAGTGAACACTGTAAAGCACCTCTCCGTTCAGGCAGCAGCGTGGGAAGAAATCAAGTTAAAGAACAGTTTCAAGGGGTGGTCTGCCCTTAAGTCCTCTCAATATCTTAATTCCCTCTAAGGAACACGAGCTTTTCAATTCCGATTACTTAAAAGAAAAAGATTTGTCATAAGATAACACTACAAATGACACATTGATTTCTTCATTACCATTAAGAAAAAAGACTTCATGATAAAGCCTGAAAGGTTGTTTTTATTCCAACCATCGTTATGGGCCAGAAGGGACAACTTTAAATTGTTCCCTAAGCATGTAGTCTCGAATGAGACTTTGCTGAGTCCTATATCAAAATATAAAAGATGTCACTAAATACAGGTGTAAATATGTCCACAAATGTGTTCAGAAAATCACATATTCTTTTTCTCCTAGGTGTTTTAAAAGTGATTTCCCACCATAATTTTTTTCTCACTATAGCATGAATTCAGATTCCACATACCGTGGCTACGTCAAAAGGAGAGAAATAGAGACTAGGAAAATCCTCCTACCCAAAATAGGAGAAACGTTAATGAATCAGCCTTTGGTTGTCAGCTGTCTGTCAATGTAAAACCACATATTCGGGACCTCAACATAAAATAAGGCTGACGCCATCACCATCCTTCCATACTCCCCTCTCTGGGCCAACCTACCGAAAACATTAACAGAAAAGGTCTTCTTTTCTATAAACAGGACAGCAAAAAAAAAAAAAAAAAAAAAAAAAAGGGTGTATTATATAAAATTTAAGAGTGCTTTACACACTCAGGAAATACATGGACTAGTTAAGAGTTAGTGAATGTTACTAATATTTTCCTGCCCCTCCACTAGAGATTTTAAAATTCAAGCATGGCATAAATTTCCTCTTAAATAATTTGATGGTAATAGGCAATGGGGGAGACTACATTGCTTTTTCTCGTCAGGCAGAGTACACTTTCAGCAATGCAGAAGCTGCACACCACTTCAGTACCTCAGGAGCCGGGCCTCTTCCGCTGTCTGCAAGTGACGCACGTGTGTCTGGCTGAAGAAGTGGGGCAACCATCGCGGCCAGCCAGCCTGTGCACACTCCCTTCCGCAACACCACCGTCGTGGTGCTAGACAAAAACTCCACGATGTTAAAAACAAAATGAAGCTTCCCTGGGTGAAATAAACTTGAGCTGCAAAGACACACAGGTAAGTTTTGAACTCTGTACTAGGATTAACACATACGGGCCAAATTAATCCTTTTTTATTGCAGTGGGTGAGTATTTACTCATAGGCGCTAATCTACCTTCTAGCTCCTCAGAGATAAAAGCTATATGTATTTTTTACTTACAACCCCCCCCCCCATTTAATGCTATTATTCAGGAAAGTTTCCAATTTTATTTGCTTGCTCTAAGACTAGATAATGGTCTTCATATAAAAGACCCATTCATTCAATATTTATAAACACCTTTTTCCATGTGAATGAATAGGGATAAATCCTGACGAATATCCCATATATTATCTATGGTTAAGCTGATAAAAGTTGAAAGTGACTGGAGTATATACACCCAGAAAAATTAAAATTCTAAGTGAAAACTTCTTTAAAAAATTTTAACAAAAACATTTTTTTTCCGTGTTATATTATAGGCTAAATAAGGTGAATGAACTCCGGAGTTAATTCTCATTCCTTTCCACCATCTTGTATCATTACTGTGGAGGGGCAGCGGAGAGCGCCAGGGGAAAAGACGGTAGAGGCCATGCCAGGAGTGAAGGGCACCTGAGGAGCTGGCCTGAGGAGTAAGCCAGTGCTCATCGAACACACGATGCTGGAACTTTCCTCTTTCTTCCCTTGGCACACCAATAAAGGAAGGGGTGGAGGTCCTCAAGACCCACTGCTCTGAGTGGGGAAACGCAGCACTGGACCAGAGGAACCACTGAAGATTTTAACTTCTATGAACTCCTGAAGGACAGGAGTCCTAAGACTCACTTTCTTTTCCCTTCACTATGTCTGAAACTGTCTTCTAAAAATCGGGTAAGTTTTCACTCAATGAATTAGTAATCTCTAAGGACTTGAAAGTCTGAGTTACATAAGATTTTGGGGAAAAGATGCCATATATTGTGTAAATAAATATTAGTACCTTGCACATGAATATGGTCTGGGTTGGAGTTTAGGAAGATGTTCTAGGAAAAAATAAAAATAAGCAATTATTAATTCACTACTATTGAAAATTACCTTATATCTCTAAAGGATAAAAAAATTCAAGGCCTATATTTGATTCCTGTTTTCTCTTACTTAGAATATTCAAACTAACTTATGTTCTAGTTTTATTTATTTATTTTTTGGCAGCTGGCCATTATGGGGATCTGAACTCTTGACCTTGGGTATAAACAAAGCTGTGTTCTAACCAACTGAGCTAACACACCAGCCTATGTTCTAGTTTTAAATGTTTGGCAGCTGGCCATTATGGGGATCTGAACTCTTGACCTTGGGTGTAAACAAAGCTGTGTTCTAACCAACTGAGCTAACACACCAGCCTATGTTCTAGTTTTAAATGGTATTCTCCAAAAGTCAAAAAACAGATATAATGCATTTCCATATTCTGAAATCAGTATTTCTGCCCAAATGCTGTTTTTCTAAACCACAAGATACTAATAAGGTCCATGAATAGGCTTCAGAGTCAAAGAAACCATGAAACTTTTGTGTATGTACAGTTCCTGGAGAGAGGTGTCCAGAGTTTTCAGATTTAAAATAAAATTGTAATCCCAAAAAAGATTAAAGACAAGTATTTTAAAGATCATTGGAAATACTTAGGCTTGAGATGTTCTTCCTTCTTATATTTATATAACTAATAAAAAAAATGTGTGCATAGTGGTGGACCAAACTACCTGGAAATTTAATGGTTTCAAAATAAATAGGTGCTTTTTTAAAAGCAAGTTATTCAAATTCTGGCAAAAAAAGAATTAAGACTGGATATATTAAGAGAGAAAAATGACAGTAATATTGGTAGAAGAAAAAAATAAGGAAATGAAAAGGCTTGTGACTAGGATTCTTTGACTTCTAGAAGAAGCGCAGATGTCACAGCACCTGAAGACAAGATATACGATGTTTACTTACCCATCACCATTCATTTAGTCGTGTCCCCACTATGTCTGCACATAATCCAAAGGTACTATGTGAGCAGCAACTTTTCTTTACTATGAAAAGATGGCCCACGTATCAGTGCAGGAAGAGCTACAGTGACTGTGACAGCAACTACGCACCGAGCAGCAGACTAAGCGGTGGCTGACAGGACGGAAAGGCCAGCAGGAGGTCCAACAGGCAGGCACAGGCATCTCGCACAAAGCGGCTGTAGTCGGCTGCTCCCTGTTTACTGCACAGCTCCTGCAGCCTGCGCTTCTCAGCACTGTCGCTGGTATAGTCCACAAGGGCTCGCAAAAACGCCTGAGAAAAGGAGCGACTTAAATTCCAATGTGATTTGTGGTTAGGGCTATTAGAATGTCCAGTTAGTATCTGCCCGGGGATGTGCCCAATTACCCCAGAGAAAGGGAGAAAGCCACTAGGAGTAATATCAGGAAAACAGAATTTAATTTACCATTTGCTTTTATGTTGGGCTATTAGGAAAATTCCATGACAGCAACAAATAAAGCAAAACAATGAAGTTCTGAATCCCAAGTCTCAAATACTGACCCAAGTCCAAAGTCCTGGACATAACACCAAACTTGCTAACAACAACTTTTGGATTCAACACAATTATAAGCTTATTTATTACATGACTTATACAGCTTATCACTCAAGAGTTCTTTAGGGACAAAGCACTTCAGTTACATGAAATGTAATGGGTACTGCTACTTTTTATTCCACAGCTCAAGATGGTTGTGTCCTGGACTCCCTTAACAGGGCAGACAAAGTCACTACTCTCATGAGGGTCACAGGTTTCCAATGGCCTAGCCTAAGAATCCAGACACTAAAATATCCAAAGACTAACAAATTACATGTGCTCCTCCAAATGCCAAACTCAGTGCTGAACAAAAAGCAGCAGTCAGGAAATGCTGCTAAATGAACTAGTGCCCCAAATCTCAGCCTGGATCTTTGGGAAGATAATGAAGAGTTGACCAGTAACACTTTGTAAATTCTAAAGTCAATAAAATTTCCTACATTACAGCCTAAAACAGAGGGAATTATAAATCCTTTAAAATAATTTTCACTTTAGAACTACAGAAACTTTAAGGTACTAAAATAGGAAATACTTCACCGTTTTTGGAGAATAAGCTAAGAAAGCTGAAAAACATTACTACAATTTAAATTGTAAATATTTCTAAAATAACAAATCTATTCCAAGGAATTTATTTTACAAAACTACTTCAAATCAGTGTGCGAAGATTAATATAGTACAGGAATGTTCACCTAGACAGTTTTTTTTAAAAAATAGTGAAAAACTAGAAACAACCCAATTGCCTATGATTAAATCAACAAATTAGGATGCGACCATAGCATCCATTAAAAACATCTTCAATCTTTCCATATAGAAATATAAAGACTCTTGATTTCTTTTTAAGTAAAAGAGGAAAGTTATAGAACAGTACATAGACTATAAGACCTCATTTTTTTCTTAGCAAAACAAAATTCGAGTGTTAACTATGAGGTCTGATTATAAAAGATTTTGCTTCCTGGGTTACTTATTTCTGTATCCAGAATTTTTAAATGAACATATTTTTATAGTAAGAAAAAGTACATTCATATATATATCCTTCACAAAAATTTAAAAAATGGTAGTTGAAAATTGTGAATTTATTAAATTTAATCAAGAAATTCTCATCAAAGTAAATTAATTTTAAATTTACTAAAATATATCTAGGGCTGAGCCTCTCTCTACAGTTGTTTGCTTCCCAAAGACTACAAATGTAATAAACACATTAAAATCTACACTGGGGAGAAGGCGGCCTAATTAGAACACGCTTTATGCTCATTGATAATAGAAGTCTAGCAGGGTGCAAGTTGGAAGATTTTGTCCATTAGTATCCACTTGAGGGAAATGGTCAGAAGATATTGGTTACAATTATTTAATACAGTTCCTGGTCTAACAGTGACATCCAGTGGACCATTCTATCTCCACATTCATATAAACATCAATATAACCTACCAAAAACCTTCCATTTTTCTTGAAAAATTCTGTTTCAGCAATAAATAATCATGTAGTATCACACCAAAGAGATCTTACTAACTGTAGGAGGTGGAAAATAGGGGGCAAAAAAACCCTAGACTCTCACAAGCTTCCCGTCATCAGTCAGAGAAAAAGTGTAGTTGGATAACTCAAGGTCAAGTATGGCAACTTTCATCACTATTTAATCGGCTTTATGAAGTTAATGTCTAGTAAAAACAAAACTAAAAAAAGCCCTATTTTAAACATTTCATTTCAATAGAAAACCAAAATTTCAATGTGAACACAAAATAAAAATATCTGTCTATGACCATTACAAAGATAACACGAGTCCTTGGCAACTAATTGTAAAAAACACGCTATTTTTTTAGCATTCAATGGGCAGATACCAGATCTACTTAATGAATCTTACACACAGCTAAACGTATTTTAAAATAATTACCTGCGGAAGAGAAAAATACCTTTTTAGGAATTGTTCGTATTTCAAGACACCAGGTGAGAACGAACTGTAGAGAACATCTCTCAGGTACATGCTGGGGTAAGGCAGCTGCTTTTCAGGTAAAGACAAAAAGAGGTTCGTGAAGTAGAAAATAAACTATAAAATGTTCTGCATTATTAATTTAATACTTCACATTATAATACTATCAAAGTACAATATAATTTGTGGCAAAGTTTATTCAGCTAAAAAATTTCCCCAAAATGAATACAGCCAGAAAACCACATTTTACAAAAAAAAAAAAAAAAAAAAAAAAAAAAAAATTCAAGGTAAGCCAAAAAAAGAAAAAATTATCTAAAATTAAAAAACAAAAAGAAAAAAAAAAAAAAAAAAAAATTACAAATTCAAGGTAAGCCAAAAAAAGAAAAAATTAT